TATCACTCACTCACAATACATTGCACGGCATCACCATTCGTGATTTACACTCTTCCTCACCCAAACAACAGAACAATAACAACCCGGCAAGGGAATCATCAATAACCAACCTCATTTCATTATTTAACTTCACAATATAAATCTCAACTTGAGTCAATACTCAACCAATATCTAATTCCAAGAAAACATGATAAGATTTGATTAACATAAAGAATAACCAGATTAAGCATGAACGGTACGAATAAAGAACACAACAGTCACAAGTATAAGACTCACTCGCATGCTATGACTCGACGACAACGTATAGGTACTCGTTACCTTACCTATACGTCGTACTCAACAACCAAACACATAGCAAATAAGGAAACAACACCTAATAACTCACGCTAAGGTTAGCCACAACACTTACCTCAATTCCACGGCCGAACTCAAGCCTCAATCACCGCTTTTCCCTTAGTTTCCACCTTCGAACCACCCGTATCTAGTTATATTAACTTAATAATATCAGTCATCGCTAAAGAAATCAATTCCAAAGTGCAACTACAAGTTTCCCAACATTTTCCCCAAAAAGTCAAAAACTGACCCCGGGCCTGTTTGGTCAAAACTCGAGGTTCGGACCAAAACCCGTTCACCCATTCACCCGCGAGCCCAAATATGTAATTAGTTTCGGAATCCGACCCCAAACGAGGTCTAAATTCCCAAATTTGCAAAATCCCCAATTTCTCCTAAAATCCCTAATTCTACCATGAAAGAACAAGATTTGGGGCTAACAATCTAATGGGCGTTGATGGAAATTGAAGGAAATGAGTTGAAGAACACAAACCTATGAATTGGTGTTGAAATCCCTCTTCAAAATCGCCCCTAGGTCGAGTTCTAATGAAAGAGTTGTGAAATTTCTTGACAAATCCCGTGCTGGTTCTACTTTTAAAAAAGACTGGACAGGCCATCTTCGCGTTCGCGAGAAGCCTGTCGCGTTCGCGATGCACAGCGGCCAAAGGCCTTCTCGTTCGCGAGATACTAATCTCGTTCGTGAAGGCATTCTCCTCCCAGCATCCGCATTCGCGAGCCTGGTGTCGCGTTCGCGATGAGAGACTTTCCCCTCTCCCAGGTCACATGCTTCGCTTTCGCAAAGGGTAAAGCCCCCCGTTGCTTCGCGTTCGCAACCTGTCCTTCGCGTTCGCGAAGAAGAAATTTCCCCTGCCCCTCTTTACCTTTCGCGTTTGCGAGACTACCTACGGTAACGCGAAGAAGGGCATATCAGAACAACTGCTGCGGCAAAATACAAGATTTTCTAAGTCTAAAACATCCCGTAGCCTATCCGAAACTCACCCGAGCCCTCGGGGCTCCAAAACAAACATGCACACAAGTCTTAAAACATAATACGAACTTGCTCGCGCGATCAAATCACCAAAATAACACCTAGAATTACGAATTTAGCATCAAATTACATGAAATTTCAAGAAAGTTCAAAAGTTCTATTTTCTCAACCAAAAGGTCCGAATCACGTCAAATCAGTCCCGTTTCTCACCAAGTTTCACAGATAAGGTATAAATATCATAACGGACCTGTACCGGGTTTCGAAACCACAATACGGACCCGGTATAACAAAATCAATTATTAACCAAATTCTTAAAACCTTTATAATTCCAGTTTAACAATTTTTATCAAAAATTCATTTCTCGGGCTAAGGACCTCGGAATTCGATTCCGGGCATATGCCCAAGTCTCATATTTTACTATGGACCCTCCGGGACAGACAAAACATGGGCCCGTGTCCGTTTACTCAAAATGTTGATCGAAGTCAACTAAAATCAACTTTTAAAGGCAAAACTTATTATTTTCTCAAATTTTCACATAAAGGCTTTCTGGAAACGCGCCCGGGCCACGCACGCAAATCGAGGAGATATAAAAAGACATTTTGACAGCCTCAGAACCCTATTGGGTTCTAAAATACGAGATGACCTTTTGGGTCATCACAGATACACGAATCGGATGTAAGTAAGGAAGGGGAATTGAAACAATTATAAGCATATATAACAATAAATATGCCACTTACAATTATCTGAGGTACTGGGCAATTAATACAATTAATGCCCATAATGAATCCAAGTTATATGGGGAAAACGTTACGATTGTAAAATCCTATATAAGGACACAAAATTTTATTTGTAAGGATAGATTCCAAGTACTATTAAAATATACTCTTTACTTTTCTGCTTTCTCAAAATTCTGTGTCTTGATTTTACAATTTGACCATCAATTAGTTCCTTTGTCATCATTTTCCTTAAATATCATTGTGAAAGTGAGGCAAAACTTGGTTGTCAGTAACTCGTTTTCTTCTAAATTTTGTTTTTGAGCAAGAAACATATTTTTGGTTAAACAGTGTGCAAGTCTTAAATAACCATACGGAACTATTCCCAGGCTCGGAATCCCAAACGGACCTCGATAACACCAAAACCTACTCCAAACCAAATTTAAAGAACTTTAAAACCTTCCATGAGCCAATAACCGAATGAAGTCGTTAAAGGCAGGCATCCATCCTTTCATTTGATCAAAGGCATCCGAGTCGAAGTAATTCAATTCACTCGAAAGGAGAAGATTGTCAAGCAGCCCCAACTTTAGCTCCAGAGGATTTTGTAGGTCCTTCTTATGTCTTTCCATAAGCAGAAGTATGAGTAGAGCTGCTCTTCCCCTATTCTTAATCCCACTTCTTATGTCTGTCAACTCTACCCTTCTTTCTTTATCCTAGACTTCGTTCGAAATCTTGAATTGCGTATAGACCAAAAAGAATGGCTTGTTGGTCTCTTTCGTCTAGTGTTTAGGACACCGTCTTTACTATTAAGCGCCGAAATGCTCGCGGGTCATCCAAAACCCGATCCGAACATACGTCCAAGTACGAATCATCATACGAACCTATTGGAATCATCAAATCCCTATTTCAAGGTCGTTTGCTCAAAATATTGACTCAAGTCAAACTTAGCCTTATTAGTCAAAATTAAGGAACCAAGTGTTCCGATTTCAACCCGAACCCTTCCAAATCCTGAACTAACCATCCCCACAAATCATAAAATAGTCAAAGCACATACGGGGAGTCTTATTTAGGAAAACGAGGATGTAGAAAGCAAAACGACCGGTTGGGTCGTACATACAATACCTATGTATTGTATGTGGCATCACTTCAACAATGGCTGACTTAATGCTCAGACACTAGTCAATTATGATCGCATCCGGATGAACATTTCCCATAGCCTCAAGCCAAGTTCTAAAAAATATATTATAACTATCGATATCTTCATGAGACATGAGAGCACATCCCAGTAAGATGGACTGTCTATGGTGATTGATGCCAACAAATGTAGCACATGGAATATTATTTTGATTCACAAGGTACGTCGTATCAAAGCATATCGCATCATGGAATTGCTTATACGCCGCCTTATAGTGTGAATGGACCCATACCACATTTCGCAGCCTACCAATATTTTCAATGTCAATTGAATATAAAAACTCTCTATCCTTTACCTGCATTTCATGAAAAATGTTGAGTAATGACTGTGCGTCCCCTTCTTGCATTTCAAAATCCCTACTCTTTAAAATAAAACTTCTACAATCTTCTCGATTGAAAGCCAAATTTTGCAGTCCACCATGTTGAACCTCAGCAAGTCTAATATTCCTGGAGGGTCTAATGCCAGATCGATTGTGAGCTACAAGATCCTTCTTCAAGGAATCACCAACGGACCTATGTCCAACCATCATGCGCGGTGTGGAAGGCAACAAATCATGATTGTGATCGTGGATGACCTTAAAGACGCGCCAACAACCAGAATCATCCAAAATAGCAGTGAGCCTAGATTTATAATTGTTACTCTTGGTGGTAAACTTGGTTTTGTGAATCCTAGCCCTATCACAACAGTAAGTTATGTACTTGGCAGTGTCACTACCCTTCCTGTTGGAATTTCTTTTGACGACAGAGAATCCTTTCAACCGTGCATGTTCTTTGTAGAATGCAAACAAAGAATCTTTATCTCTAAATCGTATTCTAGAGATTGGAACTACAACCACATCATCTTCAGTGAAATCATTTTCCATTTCCTGATCAACATCACATAACTCTAACCCATTTTCTAAAAACTGCTCCTCATCATCGTCATCTTCTCCATAATATTCTCCATCGGGTTCTTCATCATCATCATCTAAGTGCACAACATTGTTGAAATTGCCGTGAGAATCAACATCGACCCATTCTTATTCATTCAACAAGCTGTCGTCCAATGTCATCCCTAAAAATCTGTACAAATCGTCCCTAGCTCGATCAGACCTATTATCTTGGTTTATATTCATGGTTGTTGTATTTGTCTAATGTTCATTTGGATTCATATTTTCTTGCACCGCCAAATTTTCTTGGTTTGAATCCATTTTTAGATGAGGAGGAAGTGTCCACTTTGACTTGGTTTGTTAACGAGGAAGTATTGATATTACCAAATCTGGTGAATTCAAATTTTCTTCCTCCTACTAAATGTTGAGAGGAAAGGAGTAACCTGATTGTGAGAAGTGGTTTAGCTTATTTATGTATGATCAGTCAGTTAGGGAGTTAATGAGATAGTTAGTCTGTTTGTTATAGAGGTTAGCTACACGTGTATATATATTTGTAAATGTAATAGAAACAGAGTGAGTGGAATAACAATTTTTCACTGTTACATTCATTTCCCTCTCTCTCTCAGATATTTCCTCTCCTTCTCTTCTTCTTCTTCTCTTTCTCTTCTCCCTCGATCTAGGGTTTCTGCAGGTGATCTATCACCAAACTTCAGCATGGTATCAGAGCTCTAAGCTCAGAATTGAAGCTCAGAGATCGATCCGCAATCTCTTTTCATCTTCAATTTCTTCTAAATCAAAATTCTGCTTCAAATCTAACATCTCAATTTTCTATTTTTTCAACTCGAAATTGATCAATAATGGCGGTTGATGATTTGTTGAATGAAAGTCCTAATACCACTGTTGAAAATGCTTCACATGCATCATCAGAGGATTTTTGAGGAAGGAGTGACTGTAGTAGTCACTAATCCTTTGTACTTAGCTCCCGACGACACAAGTGGAATATCCTTGATCTCATTTCAGCTAACCGGCACTAACAATTACTCTCTATGGCATAGATCTATGCGAATTGCATTACTTGGTCGAAATAAGCTGGGGATTGTTGATGGCAGGTGGCCTAAGGAGCTGTTTCGTGAGAAGTACTGGTATCAATGGGAGAGGTGCAATGCAATCGTCTTGTCATGGTTGATGAATGGGATCGCATACGCTACTAGTGCACAGGTAGTATGGATGGATCTGCAGGAACATTTTGACAAGGTGAACGATACACATTGCTATAATTTGCACAAAGAAATTGCCACTCTAAATCCAGGTACTGCGTCTATTTCTGTTTACTACTCAAAGCTCAAAGACCTTTGGGATGAAACTGAGTCTGTAGTACCTACTCCTGGCTGTGATTGTGTTAAGACAAAAGAATTTATTGTGCATTTACGTAAGCAGAAGGTGTATCAATTTTTAATGGGCCTAAATGACTCTTATTCTCAAGCACGTAGTCAAATCCTTATGATGAAACCATTACCAACAGTAAATCAAGCGTATGCTATGCTTATGAGTGATGAAAGTCTGAGATCTATTGCAGCCAATGCTAGAGTATTAGGATCTACTCCTAATGTAAACACAAGTGCCTATGACTCTACTGCTCTGTACAATGCTAATCCTAGTTTCAACCCAAAGTTTAGGAAAAATTATATGTCCAATGTGACTTCTGTAAAATAAAAGGCCATAGCAAAGAAAACTGCTACAAAATCATAGGGTATCCACAAGACTATAAGGCTAAAAAGAAAGGGGGATCTGGTGCATATAATGCTATGATAGAACCTAGTCATGGTGTGCCTTTGCACACAAATCATGCTTCTTAGAACAGGGCAATGCAACAGATGCCTATGTATCAAGGCAATCAATATGTGAGCCAAGTTCCAGAGGGATTACAGGGTCAAGGGATCTCAGGCACTCAGAATCAGGAAGGTACTTTCTCTTCACAATCTCAGAGATCAGAAAATACTGCTCCACAAGGTGGTGGTTTTCCCTTTACCAAGGAACAATATAATCAGATAATGCAGATTCTGAACAGTAGTCCAACTCCTCCTATTCAAGCAAATGCAGCAGGTATTGATACTGCTCTTTTAGCATCCACTAACTCATAAGAACAAGAATGGATCATTGATACAGGTGCAACAAATCATATGGTGTCAGATGTAAACTTACTGACCAAAACCTCCCTAACTACACCTTCTAATTCTAGAAGAGTTTTACTACCTAATGGAGATGTTACTTAAGTTACTCAGATTGGAGATAGTCATATTTCAGATAGAAGCACTATTAAGGAAGTGCTTTATGTCCTTCAATTCAAATTTAACTTATTGCCAGTCTCCAAGGTGATAAGAGATCTAAGATGCTTTGCTTCCTTTTATCCCAATTTCTGAGTATTTCAGGATCCTTCAGTGGCAAGGTGAGGGAGATTGCTAGGGAAAGAGATGGCCTATACTTTCTGCAGAAATATGGGGCCAAGAGGCTGTCTGTAGTTGCTCTAGTTGCAACTGGAATAAAGTCAAGAACTACAGATATTACTTTGTGGCATAAAAGACTAGGTCATATCTCTAGTGTAGTACTCAGAAGACTATTTCCTGCTAAACTATCTAGTATTACCGATACCATCAATAAATGCACTGTCTGTCCATGTGCTAAACAAACTAGGCTGCTATTTCCTACTAGCTGTATTAAGAGCACTGATGCATTTGATCTAATTCATGTGGATGTTTGGGGTCCTTACAAGTATGCAACCTTTGATGGAAATAAGTACTTCTTGACTGTTGTTGATGATTTTACCAGAATGACTTGGTTGTTTCTTCTGAAGTTAAAATCTGATGTATGTGTTGTTCTCACTCAGTTTATTGTGTTTGTTCAAACTCAGTTTAACAAAACCTTGAAGGCAATCAGATCTGATAATGGATCTGAATTTGTTGACTCTGTATGCACCACCTTGTTCCAGAAATATGGTATTATTCATCAGAAGACATGTGTTTACACCCCTCAGCAGAATGGAGTTGCTGAGAGGAAACACAGGCATATTCTGGAGGTGACTAGAGCCTTAAGGTTTCAGGCCAATATTCCTATTAAGTACTGGGGTCATTGTGTTCTTGTAGCAGTCTATATTATTAATAGGATGCCATCTTCGGTACTCAATGGATTGTCTCCCTTTGAGTTGTTATATGGCAGAGCACCCAGTTTGGACCATTTGAGAGTGCTTGGCTGTCTGTGTTATGCCAAACAGCTTCAGGAGACAGACAAACTTCTTCCTAGGGCTAAGCCTACTGTCCTTATGGGGTTTTCTAATTCTCAAAAAGGTTACATTTTGTTAGATTTGGATAATCATTGCTTTCTTATTAACAGAGATGTTTCCTTCAGGGAAGATGTTTTTCCTTTCAAGGAATCTTTTGTCTCTATACCACCTGTATTCTTGCCCCCTACACTTTCTTTTGTTGATACTGAGCTCAATGGTATCACCTCACCTCCTTCTTCTAGTGATTCTGATCATGCTGCTAGCACTTCAGAACAAGACTTATGCATACAACACCAATCACCAGCAGGAGTGGTTCCACCAGACTTGCCTTCTCAGGACCTTAGCTTTCCTGGTCTAAGGAGATTATTAAGAACTAGACAAGCTCCTATTTGGATGAAAGACTTTGTGTCTTTGCCAGGAAACAAGTATGTGCCTTATTCTATTTCGAACTATGTGTCATACAATGGCCTCTCTCCTACATATCAGGCCTATCTAGCTATTTTTTCCACTATAGTGGAACCTACCTCCTTTGAAGAAGCTGCTAAAGATCCTAGGTGGGTGGATGCTATGCAGGCTGAGATTGCTGCTTTAGAGTCTAACCACACTTGGGATGTGGTCTCCTTGCATGTTGGAAAAATTCCTATTGGATGCAAATGGATATACAAGGTGATGTTCTAAATGTCAATACCACACAAGAGGGGGGGTGATTTGTGTGGTACCCAATTTTTGCTTTAGAAGAACCTGGTTCTTCTAGGTGTACTAACTACTACTGTTTGCAGAATAATAAGTACATAAAATAAAGAACACAGAGATTTTTACGTGGAAAACACCTGGCTCAAAAGGTGAAAAAATCACGACCTACTACTCAGTAGGATTTTCCCAAACTTCCACTAAAATCACTGAGCCAAAACAGCATTTAAAAAACTCTTTGTAAACCTAAGGATTAACTCTAATACCGTTGTGGCACACAACCTCAACTGTTGCGACAACTTCAAGTTAGCTTATAACTTGAACACTCTAGGTACCTAATACAATTGCTTCTATGAAAGCTGAAAGGTACAATTTTAAACCACCTACTACAATTGAACTAGAATAAAAGAAATACACTATGGAACTGATTCTTCTATCTCGTTCAAGTAGCTTCAGGAGTGCACACTCAAATCTCACATAAATTGCTTGCAAAATTGCCTTGCTCTTTTGCTCTCAATTTAGTTTAACTTCTGCGTATGTGCAATACCTGTGAAACAGAACAATCACTATCTTTTAATGGGTTAGTAATCAGAGTTTGATTGGGACTCAATTGCTGATCTTCTATCGTAGTTGAGTCCTTAAAGATCTCAAACTCCAACACTATCTTTATCCGGATTGTGTTCTCTTCATATAAGGAGACTTTCTCCCCTTATCCAATATGCAACCTTTTCGATCAGATCAAGAGATATTGCTGCTTGATCAGTAGGACATATCTCCTTCACGTGCATCTCATATGTATAGGTTGAGCATGACTATGCTTCACAAGATGGACCTAGTCCATGACTGAGTTCATTTGTCATTCTTCAAAACTTCACCTGTTCTTGGGCCAACAAATTCCCCCTTTTTGATGATGACAAACTCTGTGTGTTTTACTGATTCGAAACCTATAAGAACTCAGCTTAACCATCAACACTAAATTTTGAAAATTCACTTATCATTAAGGACCAAGTTAATTAGGTTATAAACATCACTTATTTTAGAATATGTAAAGCACAATATCTTTTCCCCCTTTTTGCATCATCGAAAAGTTGCATACGCAATGTGAATCCCAGATTTTAATAAATACTCATGGCCACTGGGGCAACTGCAAGTGCAATCATCAGTAATCAATAAACATATTTAAACTATCAAGGTCAGAATAAGCATTGAACAAGAGAAAACAACAGTTGTCATTGATAGAGATATGTTGCCACCTAAAATCCACAAAAAGAAAGAAAACATTCAACCATAAGCAAAAAAATAGAAAAATCCCTAATTTGGGTCACTGGGGGTATTAGACAAGTTCAGGAGACAAAGGCTAGGAGTTCTAAGGCTTGGAGGAACTGGAGGGTTGGGTTTGGAGAAGATTCAGCATGTTCTGAAGAATTCCATCATTCTTGTCCTTTTCTTTGGCAAGCTCAATTCTAAGACTATTCTTCTCAGTTTCCACTTCAACCACACGAGCCTTGAGCCTAGCAATTTCAGCATCCTTAGCTGCACATTCCTGAACCAAAGTCCTAACTTTGCTGTTGATGGGTGTCTTCAGAGATGAACCAGGTTCAACTGGGATGGCATGGACTGGATAATCACAGGCAAGAAGAGTTTTGATGCCAAAGTGTTCCTTGCTCGAAGCCATTTCCCCTTTCTTCAGAGGCACATTTAGCCTATCCAGAACTGTGGTCAATATAAAGCCATATGGAGTAGCATGAGCCTTGGAGCCATTTATGACTCTGTCTAGCAATTTGACAATGAGGGCAGGCCAGTTGATCTGCTTTCCTCTCTCCAGGCACTCCATAAGAACCAGGTCCATGTAGTTAGCAGTGTGCCTTCTCTCCTGCCTGGGCAATAAGCACTTGTTGACAAACTCAAACACAACCTTGTGCTCAGGCCTCATCTCACTTTTCTGCACAGCCTTGGCTTCATTCGCTTCCTCTGAATCACAGAACCTCTTGGTGATTTCAAGAGCAGTAGGGAGGGAGTCCAGGCATGGCCACCTTTGCCTAGTATAGTCATCAAACCCTTCAGAGGGTATGTCCAGAATCTCTCCCAGTTTCTCTGCATCAAACTTCACTGGGACTCCCTTCACCAGGCTACTAATAACTCCATCCTTAACAGCAGCATTTGCCATAAACTCAATCAGCTCATTTCTGGCTAGCCTACCATCCATCTAAAGGACCATGTCCTTCCATCCTTGAGTAGCTAAAGAGTCTACCAATCTCATCATCCCTGGTTCCACCAGGTCCTTCAACAATCTACCTTTTAAAATTTTCCTTCTGCCAAACATGGTAAACTTGTCTTGTTCCTTCTCAGATTCATTCTTTTCTTCTTCTCCACTCCAGTCATCATCATCTGAAACTTTTGTTTGTTTAGCTTTCATTGCAAATCTTGTCCTCTTGGCTAGTGTAGGTTCAGCAGACACAGGTGCAGAAGAAGACTTCTTGGAGGAAGTCTTGGGCTTTTTATGCTTGGGTGTAGGAACCTCTTCTGTTGTACCCCTTTCTTGATGGACCAGTTCCTTCTCCTCTTCCTCAATAAGTACCTCTGAGGATTCTGCAATCTTCCCTTTTCCCTTATCCATTTTCTTTTTCTTACTTTCTTCTAAGGCTTTTTGTAGATCAGCTTCACTCTGTTTTACCCTGCTTCTTGTGGCTCTACCCCTAGGCACTGAAGAGGCAGTAGGTGTTGAGGATGAAGCTTTTCTTTTCTT